AATATTTTACATGCAGGTACTTCAAACTTTGTACTTTGAGTTAACATTAATAGGAACTGGAAAACATTATTTAGGTATGAAAATCAGGTACTGAAAATTGTAATTAAAAATAGGAAAAATTGCGCTGGTTATATGATACCCATAGTTAGTGTTCTAGGGTTAAATGCAACGTCAATCGCTATCTTCTGCCTTCCCCACCCGTGTTCTTTTATTGTCCTTTATCTTTAATAAAGTCTTCTCATTCTAACCACAGGGGAATGATCGTCTTGCTTGTGGTGGAATTATTAAAAAAAAAAAAATTTTGTACTTATTTTTTGCTAATGTTTAGCTCAATTTCAATCAAGATATATATATATATATATATATATATATATATATATATATATATATATATATATATATATTCGGAAAATATTATTTGCGTCATCTTCATACATACATGAAATATGAATTCGTGTTATTAAAAGATAAACAGACAAAAAAAAAAGTGTCGCGTAATGGTTTTTCTGTACAAAAAATGAAATCAGCGAACCCAGTTCGAATTCCGCCGTATTCACATTTCGCACTAATACACTTTGGAAAAAAATATGAATCCATTTCTTCTTTATCTGTCTATATTTCTGAGATAAGGTATTATGTACACTATTTACATTATTCGGACTATTGTCCTCATCTTTGTCGCCATATTTATTACAACGTTTCGGCCCTTCAGTATCTGTCTATATTTCTGAGATGAGGTATTATGTACACTATTTACATTATTCGGACTATTGTCCTCATCGATATTGCTATATTTATCGCATGTACGTTCCGGCCTTCTTCAGGTGGTTGGAATATCGAACTCGACTCTTTATTTCGCTCGCTGGGGTAGACTGTTCTAGTTCCACGTGCTATGTTTAATGGATGTCAGTTATCTCCTGTTAATTCCCCACTCCAAGTTCTCCACCGCCTTTAACCAGGTATAGAACTCGCACACTTTGGGTCCTGTTACTGGATCTAACGGTTTTATCCACTGTGCCATGTCCTTCTTATCACCGAAGGGCTTGCTATTAATAACAGGATCAACATAGCTCTCTGGCGGCAAGGAAAACTCTGAATTTTCGCTAGAAAAGGCAACGGGTAACCATTCCACTATTTTCACAGTGATATTAACTCACAAAAATTAAAGAAACCTAATCAATGGAGAACGAAGATAATTTTCAGTTAGAAAGAAAAAAAGAAATGCTTTTTCATCTTTCTTTTTTTATGTGTCGTATTCCCTCAGAATGTAGCTGATCATGGTCCTCCACTTCTCCCTGTCCCCTTGTAGTTCCTATTAAGTTTTAGCTTTTTGTTATTCCTCCCAAGCCCTCAATCTGATCAGCAAGTATGAATACGTGCCACAGAAATTTCAGCTGCCTCTTCCTGGTACTAAGTATAAGTTTCCTTTCTTTTCATTTTCCCTAAAACCTCGCTGTTGTTCACATGTTCACTCCATTTATTATTACTAAGACTAATAAAACTTTAGTTTGAAAACAAATACCAATATTAACAAATATTATTGCGTATATGTATTTTTAATATTTATCTTAATGTGGAATGCAACAGTGAAAACGTTTGTAAATTCTAGTTATACTTTGCAGTACTTAGATTGTTAACATGGCTCCTAAACTAAACATCTTTAGGCTTCTCTGGAATAAACCATTCGTTTCCAGCTTCGTGGATATACGTTTGAAATCTTGAGTATTTATATCTAAGGGTTAAGTAGCAATGTAGACTTGGCACTCTAACCTTGAATTGCTGCCAGTCTCAGGAAAATACTACGTTGAAGTGAAAACTATAGAGAAAGTAAATGAGAAATCCTTCTGCTATATTCCCCAAGATGGCGCTTAACACACAGGTAAAAAAGAAATGAAATCTGTGGAGAGATATGATGCTAAATTCTAAAGGGATGTTTTATTCGGAACATAACTTTTAAAATGGCGAAAATTAAAGTGGTATGTTTCTTTCTTTCTTTTTCTTCTTTTTACTTTCTTTTTCTGTCTTCTTTTTTTCTTCATTATTTGCTTTCATTTTTTTAATTTCTGTCTTTATTTTTTTCTATTGTTCTTCCTATTTGCATTTCTTTTTCTTTCTTTGCTAACTTGCTCTCTTTTTATTTCATTTTCTTTCTTTTTTTTCGTTTCGACCGTTGTACGCTCCGGCCTTCTTCAAGTGGTTGGAATGTCGAACTGAACTCTTTCTTTCGATCACTGGGGTAGACTGTTCTAGTTCCACGTGCAATGTTTAATGGATGTCAGTTATCAGTTTTCTCCTGTTAATTTCCCTCTGAAAGTTCTCCACTGTCTTAGCCGGGTATTGAACTCATACTCTTTGGTTCCTGGCAATGGGTCTATCTTACCGCTTTATCCACTGTGCCATGTGTCCTTAGTTAGATCCCAAAGTGTGTGAGTTCAATACCCGACTAAGGTAGTGAAGAACTTTCAGAGGGAAATTAACAGGAGATAACTGATAACTGATTAAACATGGCACGTGGAACTAGAACAGTCTACCCCAGTAAGCGAAATAAAGGGTTCAGTTCGACATTCCAACCACCTGAAGAAGGCCAGAGCGTTAAATAGCCGAAACGTTGTAATAGATATGGCGACAAAGATGCGGACAATAGTCCGAATAATGTAAATAATGTACATAATACCTCATCTCAGAAATATAGACAGATACTGAAAGGCCGAAACGTTGTAATAAATATGGCGACAAAGATGAGGACAACAGTCTATTTTCTGTCTTTTCTTCTTATTTTTCTATCTTTTCTTTCTATTTTTTCATTTTTTCTTTTTCCTTTCCCTCCCTTTTACTGTTTCTTTTTTCTTTCTTTTCTTTCTTTCCTTGTTTCTTTTTCTGTTTATTTTTCCCTCTTTCTTGATTTAGTATTTTGCTAGCCATTGCTGAAAACTGAGCAATAGCACTGGCAATATCCTGTCTAATGTAGAAGTTCTGACGGGTTCTAAAGGAATGAATATGAAAAGAAATAAACATGGCGTCCAGCATTCAACAAAAGAATTATATCAAAACATAAATTAAACCCAAAAATATACAAATAAATTGTCCAAATCACAACCTACATCCATTGTATCCATTGCAGTGGATCAGTAGGAAAGAAAACCTGTGAAGACCAAAATGTTCCATCAAAGTCTTAAATGCTGTTTCGTTCGCCTGGCTTCTCTTGAAATTCGCAGAAGCTTTCACAGATCGAATGGCTTCCCATTCACTGACAAATCCAAAAAATTGTTCAATCTTTCCTGATGCAGGGATAAACTTCTTTTCTTTTATTTTCTTTTATTTATACCTTATTTATTTCCCTATTTATTTCTCTGTTAAAGAAACGTTTCTTGTATAAAGTGGACGTTGGAATAAGACTTGCCAATGAGTCGACATTGACGCCATTTTTTATTTTATATAACTACTTTTATTTTTTGTTGTTTTCTTCTTTTTATTTTTTATATTGTTATTCTAATTTACATTATTAAACTTCCGACTAATGTTGTCATCTCTGCTGATATTATCACAAACTTTAGGTTGATGTAATCTCCGACATTTTTCAGGTATCTGTTGATTTGAGTAAGCCTACATGTAATTCCATACTGAACATTTTGTCTAATCCACCGACTATGGCTAGGGATATTTGCTGTTCTTTTATGGCATTCTTCAGTTATTGATCGCCCTGTTTATCATCTACAACTCCATCTCATCCTTCTTTGAAACGAGGTCACCGTTTGTAACTTTTCAGGGAATTAGTTCCAGAACCGTTTTTCAAACCAAGTTTTACCTTGAGTTTGGCATTTCCACTTGTTTCATTTTTTCTTCAGAACACATGCTGTACTAAGAGGGATTTTTAAACTTAGACTCGAAATGCATTCAAGCGGGAATGAAGTGAATTCATCTATTTTTAAATTGTTATTTAAATATCGATTACTCAATCAATTGAAAAATGGTGTATCAGAATTCTTTGTTTTTTGGGGTTTTTTTTTGGTTAGTTTAGTGGCATATCAGCATCTTATGGGTCATTCAATACCGAATTTTATTTTTCTTGGAAGCATTAGTAATTTCTTTTACAAAACGAATAGCTGCTATTTTTTCCTATCCAAAAATGTAATTTTTGTTTACTATGAAAATGTATTGCTGGTAATTGTTACTAACCTACTTTTATATTATCCTGTTTTGACTGCATTTTGGGTGTTCATTATTTGCCCAAAGCTGGGACCCTAACAAGGGCTACCACCCCGGGTCAGGGTGGAGCAGGGAACAACAGTCATTAAGAATTTGTCCAACGCTCCTCAATATCTCCCGATCAGAGGACTCGCTGCCAGTGTTGTTTATCGTCATACCCAGGACGAACCTGGCCAGGGATTGAACTCAACATTTACTATGCCGCCTAATTAAATGCCTAATACTTTTATCTACTGGCAAATAATTTTGATAATAACAACTAAGATGTGGACATTAGACCAAATAAATAATGTAATGTAAATAACTCATTTGATAAATTAATTTTACATTTCAATCGGAAGAAATTGTTATATTTACAAATAAAGACAAAATGAAAGATAAACTTAATAAAAATGAAAGAGACTGAAGCATTTTAATAATTTAATTGATATTCAGGCATTTATATCTCTTAAAATAACCTCATATTTGCATGTAACGATTTGTGATAAGCGTTTTCACACCAAACAGTTACCATTTTTAAAACGTTGCAACTCAAATGACAATGTATGGTAACAATTTGTAAAAAACTCTGAAGTAAAACTAAAGGAACCGTTAAATAAATAGTAAATGAAATCTGGAAGAAAAGACAATCTAGTAACTTTAAGACAGGAACCATGATGATCAACCAGAGGTAGCCTAAGATGTCTGCTACATATTGGGGTTGTTAATATTAAAGGCAATGGTTTCGAGAATCGAAGTGATGGTTGGTGAATTTAAGGGTTTGGTTTGGTTTGGTTTGCCGAATATCAACCTCAATGGGTTATTTAATGCCGACAAAATTATTATTGCTGCTAATATCTATCTATCTATCTATCTATCTAACTATCTATCTATCTATCTATCTCAGTCAATTTATCTATCTATCTCAGTACATATTGGTTTGGTTTGTTTTACGGCATATCAACCTCAATGGGTTATTTAATGGCGACAAGATTTTTATTGCTGCTAATATTTTTTTTATCTATCTATCTATCTATCTATCTATCTATCTATCTATCTCAGTCAATTTATCTATCTATCTCAGTACATATTGGTTTGGTTTGTTTTACGGCATATCAACCTCAATGGGTTATTTAATGCCGACAAGATTTTTATTGCTGCTAATATTTTTTTTATCTATCTATCTATCTATCTATCTATCTATCTATCTATCTATCTATCTATCTGTCGGTCTCAGTCTATCTATCTATCTATCTATCTATCTATCTATCTATCTATCTATCTATCTCAGTACATATTGGTTTGTTTTATTTTACAGCATATCAACCTCAATGGGTTATTTAATGCCGACAAGATTTTTATTGCTGGTATTTTTTTTCCAAAAGTAATATTTCTTTTTAAGAATGTATTGCTGGTAATAATTTTTCTTCAAAGATTACTGCTGGTGATAATTTTTACAAAGTATTTCTGGTATTAAAACCTATTTTTTACACTTTCATAGTGATTTGACCTCATTTTGGGTGGGTAACTATTTACCCATAGCTGGGACCCTTACAGGTGCTATCACCCCGGGTCAGGGTGGACCTGGGAACGCCAGCAAATGAGGTGGTTCCACGCTCCTGAAAACCTCTTGGTCAGAGGCCTTGCTGTTGGATGCAGTTTATCGTCTTCCCCAGGACACGGATTCTTTTTATAGGCTTACCCAGGACACTTGTGAACTTGAGGGAATAGTAATTTCTATTTTAATCTCTGGTTCTGGTAGTAAAAACTCAGCTCAATAGAAATAATAAGAGCACTACCAAATAAAGAAAACATTGGCATAAGAACGAAAATAACTCACCCTCGTTTATTTCATTTTTTAAAATATATTTTTAGTATTCAAGTTGATTTATTTTTTAATTCCTTATTTCCTGTTATGAACTTTAGATTTGATACAAACTAGTTCAGTTGTTCCCAAACGGTGCGGCGGAAAAGGATAGCAGGTGAGGCGGAAGAGGATAGCAGGTGAGGTCGAATGGTTGAAAGCCAATCAAAGATTCAAAGAATCCATATGCCAACAATAAATATGATTTCAATATTTAAAATAATATTACTAAGATTACTTGTAATTGCAAGCATGAGTCCCAGTATAAATAGTAATAAATAATCATTGTGAAATTTTTGCATTATATCAAATATCAACAATATAGCAACTAGGGTCCTCAAATTGGAGGAGAGAGTTATCAATATTAATATTTTGACTTCGAATCCGGAGTTATCTCCTTTTAACCCTCTCTCTGGACCTTCTTTGGTGTAGGACTGCTTGCGCATTTTCAATTCTGGATTTTCAGTTTTGAAAAATATCATAAACCAGAAAAGAGAAAGGCTTCTTTATGGCGTTGAAGAGATAAGAGATTGTTTATTTCAAATTAGGCCCAATATAAAGGAAATTACCCGTCAAAAACAAGCTGATACCTTTCACTAAATCTGTGTACTTTAATCATATTTTAAGTAATTTGTGTTATATATTATAGTTAACGCAATATTTGTCTTTTTTTTTAAAATATACTTTTCATCACACAAAATTTGGTAAGGTGCAAATTTTCATTCCAAAAATGCGGCCCTGAGAAAAGAAAAAGTTTAGGAATCACTGCACTAGTTGATTACAATATTATATGTTACACTAAAACTTTCTTTAAAATTACCTTTTTTCCGATACCTGTTTTTTTTCTAAATTGTTTAGCCAAGCATTTGTCTTTTTGTGATGTATTTTTCTCGATGTTATCTTTCATCTAATCGACTGTTTTTCTCTTCTCATAAGCTGCTATCCCAAACACTTTGTTCAATTTTTTACGCTGCAAATGTAAAATGTTAATTTACTTATTTAAGCAGTTGTGTAATGATTTTATCAAAACTACTACAATTGCAACAACGAATAATAATAATAATAATAATAATAATAATAATAATAAGAAGAAGAAGAAGAAGAAGAAGAAGAAGAAGAAATATAAAAATCGTTCTCACGAGTACAGCTCACACCGTACAAAAGGCTATATCTATGTAAAATATGTGTTTTTGTTTGGTTGGGATTTTTTTCTAATTGCTCAGTGGAAAATGTCATGATGCCATTTGCGACCATAGGTCTCTGGTCGGGAACCAGAAAGAAATGAGTACACAGAAATCAAAGGAAATAAAATCATAATAATATAACTGAAAAATACGTAAAGATTAAAAGAATTATACGCGATTTTGTGTTCAAGTAAGCAAAACATCTTCCAAAAACCACTAAATAACAAGAGCTACACTCTTCAATAAATGAAAATCTAAAATGATTTATGTGGTTAACCAACTCGAGTAATAAATTCAATAGATTTATCAAACATCTGGCTTTGTTGACCGTTTGGATGCGAAATTCTTGAGTCGGTAACCAGATAAGTCGCTTGAACATTTTATTATTATTATTATTATTATTATTATTATTATTATCATTTTCTTTGATTTCTGGCGTTTACACATTTCTTTCCGGGTCCCGCCCAGGGACCTAAGGTTAGAAATGGCGTCATGACAATTTCCAGTGACAAAAAAAAAAAAATTAAATTACTTAATAGATAAAGCCCTTCATAAGGTGTGGGCTGTACTTGTCACTTGAGGCATGGACTTATTATTATTATTATTATTATTAATTGTATTCACAAGTACAGCTCACACATTATGAAGAGCTTTATTTATCTAAGTAAAATGTATATGATGTTAGTTTTCTTTTTTTTTTTTTTTTTTTTTTCTTTTTAAAAAAAAATTGATGATGGAAACTGACATGAAGTCCTTTCTACCGTAGGTCTCTGGTTGGGACCCGGAAGGTATTGTGTCTACAACAGAAATCCAATTAATCTAAGTAATTGAACGAACATAGCATTTTATTTTACTCAAATAAATAACTTCGTAAAGTTTTTATTGTTATTAATAACATTAATAGACAGGCTTAAATGCTTTCCATGTTTAAATAGTTGGCTACACTTAAAATAAATCATTTCAAGTCATTAAAACGAATATTTAAGCCTTCATAATATTAGTATTTCTCATAAGAAATATGTCCTCGGGCAAATGTAGACGTTTATTTTCTCTTTTACTTAAAAGTGTCTGTGTTAAATGGATCCAAACAAAGCTATCGTCACACGTCTGTAGACAAAATTTATAAATGGTTTCTATCGGCGAGTTCACTCACAAAAAAAAGTAAACATTTCAGAAACGAATATAATTAACTCAAAACCTATTTACATTTCATTGCCTGTCAGATTTACAGGTACTCTCTCCTAGGAATATTAATGCTAAAACATTTTCTCACAATAATTCAGTTTCATACAGATTCTGATATTGAACATGATAACAGATTTACAGCATTTTCAGTTTCATCTCACATTTCTGATGTTGCTTCATCTCGTCTTAGTATTTAACTTGGATAGAAGTTTCCCTGTTAAAATATATAAAGATTGTGATTCACGTCAGGAATTTCCAGATGATCTGAATCAAATTTAATGTAAATAAGGAATCTTTTATTGACAGAGACTTTACACTCAATATTACTGTTATATACCGTACATATGAACACTAATAGGTCCCAATTCTTATAAATAGGTTGGACACTATTGTAAGTGGGGATAATATGATGTCTAAGTAGTCCACCACTCTCTCTTTCTCTCTCTCTCTCTCTCTATCTATCTATCTATCTATCATAGTGTAATATACCGTACATATGAATACTAATGTGTATGTGCCAATTCTTATAAATAGGTTGGACACTATTGTAAGTGGGGATAATATGATGTCTAAGTAGTCCACCACTCTCTTTTCTCTCTCTCTCTCTCTCTCTATCTATCTATCTATCTATCATAGTGTAATATACCGTACATATGAATACTAATGTGTATGTGCCAATTCTTATAAATAGGTTGGACACTATTGTAAGTGGGGATAATATGATGTCTAAGTAGTCCACCACTCTCTCTTTCTCTCTCTCTCTCTATCTATCTATCTATCTATCATAGTGTAATATACCGTACATATGAATACTAATGTGTATGTGCCAATTCTTATAAATAGGTTGGACACTATTGTAAGTGGGGATAATATGATGTCTAAGTAGTCCACCACTCTCTCTTTCTCTCTCTCTCTCTCTCTCTATCTATCTATCTATCTATCATAGTGTAATATACCGTACATATGAATACTAATGTGTATGTGCCAATTCTTATAAATAGGTTGGACACTATTGTAAGTGGGGATAATATGATGTCTAAGTAGTCCACCACTCTCTCTTTCTCTCTCTCTCTCTCTCTCTCTATCTATCTATCTATCTATCATAGTGTAATATACCGTACATATGAATACTAATGTGTATGTGCCAATTCTTATAAATAGGTTGGACTCTATTGTAAGTGGGGGTAATCTGCTAAGTAGTCCACCACTAGAAGTGGTTTACCTATTTCACGTTGCTGGCGAGTATTGTATTTTATTGATGTTATAAGGATTACCATTTCATTTCCAACCTCTGTTTTGGTTATTCATCATTCAGTAACCCTTCCTAAGTTACAACAATTTTTCTCTCTCTATCTATCTATCATAGTGTAATGTACGGTACCTATGGATATTAATGTGTATGTCCCAATCCTCATAAATACGTTGAACACTATTGTAAGGGGGGGGTATAATATACTGTCTAAGTAGCCCACCACGGCGTACCCACTTCACGCCGCTGGCGAGTATTGTATTTTATTGATGTTATAAAGATTACCATTTCATTTCCAACCTTCCTAGGTTACAACAATTACACCAGACCGCCAGAGAAGACAGGTGCAACAGAGGGTTGAATGAGTCACTAGGGACCAATTTACGCCTTCAGTGGTTGTCAATGGCTATCCATGAAATCTGAAAAGGTGGTCAATGTAATTACGCCCAGGATGTCCACCCGAAGAACGGCCGATGACAGAAAGATATATGTGCAGCGACACTTTCATGTACAAGAATCCATGTTGAAAAAAAAAAAAAAATTAAATGCACATACCCGCTCGTCGTATTAATTGACGAAATCCGGAGTTGAATAAATAATAATATTACACATTAGTTATTTAACTTTGTGTTTTCATTCGTCTGTACAATGATTATATAAACACATCAAGTAAAATTTTATAATGTTTGATTTTTACCTTACGAGAGTGCGACATTACGGGAGGGAAGCCACGGCACATCTGTGAGAAGCAACTGTAGACTAGATGCCAGATCAAGACCTATCGCATTGCATATTCGTCTCTGCATTTTGTCGAGGTCTCTTCATTTTTTTTCAGACATTCTCACATTCCGAAAAAACGCTATTGCCAGTTCGAAACGTAACGGCACAAGCTTTTAACTACTTGTATGTAACGTGTCCCTTCAAGGTGTGGGCGATTATGTCACTTTTTGCTATCTCTCCTTATCTCTGAGGTTTCATTGATCTATTTTTCTAAAGAAAGTTTTTTGTCAAGAGTCAAATACATTGATGATAATATATATATATATATATATATATATATATATATATATATATATATATATATATAAAAAGTATGTATGTGTGGATATGTGAACATTAAATTGTCTATGGTGTGTGTATGTCACCACGAAATGTATCCTTATGCATTATACATCCGTCAACATTCATTCTTTTCTCTTATTTAAACCCCTTCCACCCACCTCTCCTAAAATCCTGTCTATTAAGGTTCAATCTCCCTCCTCCTCATACTTACACTTTCTCTAAATTCTGTTTTTATTTCCGGAGTTGGGTTTTTTCTGTTTTCTTTTTGAATTTGTAGGTCTGATGAATTGGATCGTATTTACGATTCCAATGGAATAAATTATGACCATGGAATATTAGTGTTTAAGCCTTTTTATTATATCCTTACTCAGTCCTGGACATTGAGTTCTACCTGGATTCTTCCTCTTGGAAAAATTTTTTCTAAAAATATACATGTATGGGTATTTATATATTTTGCATATGTATGTATATTTTCCACTAATATTATCTATCTCTCTCTCTCTCTCTCTATATATATATATATATATATATATATATATAAAATTTATTTTTAGTATTTTTTACTATAAAAATCTATTTTTATACTATCACAGCTTTGTTTTTTCTTTTTTTTAATCCCAGTTTGGGTGGGATTAACATTTTACGACATAGCATTTGTAGAAAAACAATATATTTAAGATTTCAATTCTGTGCAATAGTAGAATCGCACAGACATCGCCTCAATTTAAATAAGCTCACACGAAAGTCAAATTCAAATTCCTATATTAGCATTTATTGACCAATCAACGAGGTTGTCTCAAACGCAACTCAAGCTTCGAAGAAGTAGAAAACCATTTCTTGTCGTATGCTAAAAAATGAACGCTCATATCCGGAAAAATGATTAACAATATTTTCCCTCCGAATAAATATTTAAAATCGAGAAATATATTCAATAAAACTTCTGAGTTTAATAAATCTAAATTTTACTTCGTATGATCCATTTTTTCTTATAAATAGAGTAAGGTAAATTAATAAACTTGTTTTTCTGTATACCTTCGACAAGTATGTAAATAATATTGATTACTCAAATTTTCGCATACTCAGATTAACTTATTGAGTATTAAAGTACCTTTATATAAATTACTTCATGCTTTTAAAGTATTTTCATGAACCAGTTTGCACGTTTTACATTACAAAAATACTCAAGTGACACATAAACAAAATGTAATCATCAAAAACTGCATCCGTAATGATATTAATCAGCTGTTTTTCTGCAGATAATTTGACGCTATATGTACGCATAGTATAACGTAAATCATGGATTTTGCCGTTACAACTTCATCTAACATTTCACTTCGTATGATCCATACTTTCCCACGTATACTGACAGAAATTAATTTCTTTTGCGTTGCAAAAAAAAAAAAACATTTTTCGTATGAACTTTGTTTTCGAGTAGCTATATAACTCGTTTATTTCAACTTGAAAGAAAACGATTATTTTTACGCATAGCAATAAAACTAGTTTAATTTGTAGAGCTGTGTTTGGAGATTTTTTTTTCTTGGATTTTCACAGACTTTTTTTCCTTTACCGACTTGTAGATATAGATATCAAGTAACATCGGGTAGTATATGATTTCTTTTATTCGGAAGTTTCTATTTTAAGGAGAATAATCTTTTGCACCAAACAGAAATGCCACCTGGATTAATCATAGCAGTGGGAATTTTTCAGCTTATAAAATGAGAAGGCCGCTTCAGATAAACATTCTGCTGGGAATCGTTATACATATATACATATATTATGACAAACCCAACGAATAAAAACATATTCCAAATTTCACAACTACAACTGAAAAGAGTTTATCTAAGATAAGGTAAAATAATACAACACAAAATAATAATAAGCTGAAACCTGAAGAAGGAATTTATTCCATTACCTGTAATGATTGCCACAAGGAATATATTGGTGAAACCTAAAGGAATTAGAATAAAATATCATACGAACACCAAAGAGATCTCTTCAATTTATAACACACAATGACTTAGTTGGGCACCATAATGAATTTGACAATAATTTTAATTTTAAAAATACTACTTTAATTAAAAGAGAAAACAATTTACTAAGATGAAAATGTATAGAAAGTGCTTTAATCACTAGATCATCCACAGTAAATATTCTTAAAACGTTTTACCTTTCTTGGCAGATTATCTGTTATCACACTATGGGATATTTAATAACAACAGTGATAAAGACATAAACAAAAATAAACTCCACTAGAATACTTATCTGAAATAATTTCAGTGGCTCCTCTCCATCATACGCATGTGTAATTCCATTAACGTAAACCTCACTTTAATGCGATGAAGGGCATCACACATTTTTCCACGTTGTGATAGATTTTCTTAAAATATATATATGTGACAGAAATAATTAGGAGGGTTTGAGATAAGCATAATTAAGTAATTAATCGAATCTAGAAGAAACCTCAACAGAACGCAGTTTCGTCCTATATTTGGGACTCATCGTCAGTGTGCATCCACTACAGAGAATTGAAACCCGGACAGTTACGATATGAAGAAAGCGTCATACCAACAGTACCAACGGGACTCGGTGAGGACGAGGTAACGAATTAGGCTGGGTATATCGAGCCTAATTCTTTACCTCGTTGAGGACGAGGTAAAGAATTAGGCTCGATATACCCAGCCTAATTCGTTACCTCGTCCTCACCGAGTCCCGTTGGTTGGACGAAACAGCCGTCCAGTACTTTCTGCATTCTGTTGAGGTTTCTTCTAGACTCGATGAATTACTTAATTATCATATATATATATATATATATATATATATATATATATATATATATATATATATATATATATATATATATATAATTATTACCTGTAGAACAACATTTCCGCCTGGGAAAACATGATTTCAAAACCCATGACAAATTCACTATAATTGAGAGAATAGAAAAGTTCAGAGCAGATAACATTAGAAAGATTTTAGAGTCCCATGAAAATAAGTGGATACAACGTCTAGAAACAAGATACCCAGCCGGGCTAAATCCTAATTTTAACAATATATAGATAGTAACAATATATAACTCAACAAATCAAAACCTACCCACATTTCTCACCCACACAAGACAGACATGCTTACGGAGGTGTGGAGGCCTCACAATTATACACTCACCCACACGAATATACACACTTACACACATCATACTCACTCACTCCCTAATGAGCCAAATGATAACACACACCTACAGCAATACACACGCTTACACATATCATACTCACTCACTCCCTAAAAACCAAATAACACACACACAAACACTAAACAGAGACGCATCCCCTCACCAGGTCCAATAAAACTGTCAAACTGACCAGAGAATTCAGAATAACACGTATCTATCCAGCTCTTATCTCAAATAACAACTTAAAAGAGACTGTTTGACCAACACAACGAATGTTAAAAGATTCATTTTAAAAAGATAAAAAAATTAAAAAACAAATGAAAACTACAGACAAAAGTTCATTTTCTCCAGCAAAAGACATTCATTTCTGTAGTTTAGTGCTACCAGCTAGCAGAAATATTTCTCCTCCCGATGATGGCCATTTCGGTCGAAACTAGTCGAGGAATCTAAATGGAATAATAATAAAAAAAAAACGAAAGAATATTAATCTACAACCCAGTGTGTCTAAAGATTTTAATTTTTTTATTTTCTTATTGTTCAATATATATATATATATATATATATATATATATATATCCGTCGAAGTCAGTAAGGTTAAAGAAATCTAAAGTCCTTAATAAGCAGAGAATATCTTCAAGAAACTTAACAACTTATATCAAAGAAAAACCTAACAAAAATGAGAGATTTCTCATCTTAAATTGCAAAAATCTGTTACTTCGCCATTAGAAAAATGTCAATATCAGCCTCGTTCCTTATATTTTAATGTTAAAATCCATAAACAACGTAACCCTCCCTTTTCTTGTTAACACAGTATATTATTTGTTTAAGACAATTTTAGATAGACAAATCGATAGAAAGAGTGATTGAAGACAGAAATAGTGCC